ATTTACCTTCTAGTATTGGGTTGGACTCCAGGATCTGTTGTTCAATCCCCTGTTCAGAGAGCTCCCCGCTGACTGCTGCCAGGTACTGCAGGATCAGCTTTGTGCTCTCCGTCTTCCCTGCTCCTGACTCCCCACTGAGATTAAAGCAAAAATAAATGATTCAGTGATCGAAAAAAAGTGTCACCCAACAACATGTATTGTACTCGGGGCTGTCTGCGGGCAACAGCTCAGAGTCCATGCTGACTTTTTCAGTGAGTAATTTGTCCTGACCTGATGATACAGCACTGGTTCCTGAGATTTCGTGTCATGTTGAAGTAGCAGGACTCAGCAATGGCGAAGATGTGTGGCGGGAGTTCCCCGAGCTTTCGACCATGGTACAACTTCACCTGAAGGGAGAACAAGAGCGCACACGTGAAACACATCCCTGCCAGAGATTCGGCTTGTACTTGTATGATGTATGTTAATTCAAGCGGGTCTCACCTGGTCAGCTGCATATAAAGGAAAGTCCTGGTACGGGTTCACTGCAACCAGCACCGAGCCCGTGAAGGTCTACAAACACATCAAAAACATTGCTGAACAAGACAGTTAAGTCTGGTTAAAATCATTTCCATCAGCCTCATGTTAAGTTCTACAGCCATATTGTTTCTAAAAGGGTCATTTCACACAGATTCACTCCTATTTCCTCACGTATCCCTTGTGGTATCTGGCCATGCAGGTCATTTTGTTTTCATTTACTCAGATTGTCTCAGATTGATCTTAACCGAAGGTCTTCTAACGAGCTTTTTCCAGAGCTTTCGACCATATCTCTCAGTATGAGATGATGGAGTTTGAGCTGAGATTTGTTTTTGTCAAACACGTGTTCCCATGATTTAAGATAAACTGCTACAAATATTTTCTGTTCGAGGTAAAAAAAAAATCGTGTAAATGTTCCTCAGTGGTCTCCAAAGCAGGAGAGGCTATAAGAAGATATCAGCTCGAAATTTCCACCGCCTGAAATGGCAGTTGAGGGGAACTGTGGAAGTAAAGACAACATCTTGAAGATTAAGAGATAAAACTGCATGTCTGCTGGGGAGAAAGGCAAAACAAACACCCCCATACGACTGCAGAGGAGCTGCAGGAAGGTTCAGCTGACACAGCAGTGGCGGTGCACCGTCCCACTGTGCAGCGCTGGTGCACAAACTGGGTCTACATGGAAGAGTCATCAGAGGGAAACATTACCTGCTGCCTCCTTTACAAAAGTCTAAAGCAACACAACATCTGGATGAACCAGAGCCATTCGGGTGACAAGCGCTGGGGACAGAGGAAGATAAAACTGAGCTTGTTGGCCACAATCACCAGAGGTGCGGTTGGAGAAAAAATATTAATATGAAATATTCTGCTTTGGGGTTGTGTGGCAGCTAGAAGAAAGAATAGATTCCACTAAATATCAGCAGATTCTGAATGCAAATGTCCTGCAGTCCGCCAGAAAGTGAAACTGAAAACAGGCTGGCTTTTACGACACGATAGTGATCCAAAGCAAAAATCAAAATCTACCAAGAACTACTTCAGGAAACACAAGCTGAAGCTTTTGGAACGGCCTTCACGACCTAAACTTAAAATATCTCAGAACTTGGGAGAGATCTGCAGGAAGAGCGATGTGAAAATCCCCAAATCAAGAGCAGAAAGACTCAACACAAAAAAACATTTGCAAGCTGTGATATTTGCCAAAGAGAAGTGCCCAAACTTTTGTGCATGCCACATGCAATCTTTTATCAAATTAATGAAATATAAAGTAGTTGCGTTAACATGTGTATATATATATATATAGTATAGAAATTAAAATACTGTCAGTAACAGAAAGACATGCAAAAGGTTTTTCAGATTCCAGGACTCAGCAGTAGGCCAGAGGAATATATTTTACAGTGTGTGTGTCTGTGTGTGTTACAGATGTGCCTTACATAGATGAGTCCTTGTTTGTGTCGGAGCAGCAGGTTTCGGAGGAGGCCGGCCTCGGTCATGTCACCCAGTTTGATCATGTCATCCACACCCTCCACTGACGTAGGGTGCATGATCCTGAGCGAGGCCTCCTGCTCCTGGGACAGACTCTGCTCCTGGGAGAGGTCAAAGTGAGAAATCAAATCGCAGTGTTTAGTTGTATCCCGGGCCGAAACTGTTTTTAAATGATGCTCGATATAAACAACACTTGAACCGTTTTTCATTCAGCAAAGGGTGTTTACCTTTCCCTCATCGTCCACCAGTAACCGCTGACCAGCTGGTGTTACTTTGACCCTGGCACCGATGGGTACCCCGATATCAGAGTCCACCCACACCCACTCCCCCTGAAAACACAAAACACAGTAAATATAAGAATGAAGCCACTGATATTTCTTCATTGTCCTCCAGAAAACAGAATTTATGATGGGATTACTTTTATTAGTTTACAGTATTTCCTTGAATGAACTGCAGGGAACTGTGACTTTGACTAGTTCCAGGAACAAATGAATGACAGTGTATTCTGGTAAGTAATATTCTAATCAATACAAAACAATTGTCGTCACTCCACAGTAGGTACTGAGGGGCTTTTCCTCCTCACCCTTACCTTTCTCAGCATCACCGATTTTCAGCTTTCTTACTGCCTAAACAAAGAAATCCATATGATGAGTTTTACCCCCCAAAAAATGAATGACACTTTATGCTCATCATCATTATGACAACTTAAAAATAAAGGTTTTCTCTTTGTTGCATTGTTAAAAGTCACTCAGTGCCACGGGTTAAGGTGCACATAGGTCACAGAATAACAGCTTTTAATGTAACATGGATAAAAACAGTTAAGTGGTCTAACTAACAAACCTTTCAACAGAGATCTTCATTCAGTCCGTAATCTTCCAGGAGCCGAGGAGCTGCAGTTTGTCTCGACGGCGTCTTGAATCTGTCTCAGTGTGAAGAACGAAACACGACTCTCCTACGAATGACACTGATTTTATGGCACTTTGACTTTGAACCGAATTGGAAGAGAAACTGAGCACACACACACGCAGAGGTGAATATCTGTCTTGTCATTGTGGGAGTGTCTTCTTGGCCACATTGATCTGTTTTGAGCTCTTCCATCTTAGAATTATAATAATATATTTATAATGTAATTAGTAAGTTTTACTGCTATAGCTTGTATCTGTATCTATAGTACTGGACTTTTGTGCTGCTCAGCAAATCTGCAACACAATCCTCTGAAACAGTCTGACATGAACAATCAGTGTCAGACATCTTGTTCAAAAATGATTCTGCTACTATTTTTGAGCACATACATATATATCAAACAACACTTTATATAAATGAACTTGAGGAAGATTCACCAGGTGACTGTTGTAATGTATCTCTATGCAGCCTTTGGACCGTGGCAGTCAGAAGAGACACTGTGGAGCATCTCACAGACTCTCTCTGCAATAAAGATGTAAATATGAGATTTGAATCCAGGGAGGACCAGATTTACAGCCCAAGAGACTTAATCATCTCTGTATGGTCGTTATCATTTAAGGTAAGGTCTTTGTAATATACTATAGGGATTCCTTGGTTGTGAAACAGTCAGTAATGATCTATAATGAAATTCTCTAAAGTGCAGATTTCTCTTCTGTGACAGGTTGAAAGTTGGAGCTGAAACCACAAGGGAAACCGTCCTCTAAGAGGAAAACGTGAGTTATCTGTACCACTATAATAATTAAAGTCATCAGGGTGTAAGAGGTTAAAGTCAAAACAGCTCACGTGGCTGAGACGGGAATCACTGCTGGTTGCTCACTTGCGTCAGTGTGTTCAGCAGCACTGATAAAGAATTTCCTGACAAATACCCAACCCTTCATCACCGCTGCTGCAGGTGCTACTGGGTAACATCCCGACGCTAGGTGAGTTCAGACGAACTGCCTCTAGTGACTAAGAGTGGTGACGATAATCAATGACGTTGGATACAGAGATTAACTTCTTCTTAACTGCCTCTTGGATACAGAGGAGAGGTTGTTGTCTTCATTCACCCGCCCGATCTCTGACTTCATTCTTAATGATACATTGAATTTCGGTCCTTTAAGATGATAACAGCCAGATGTTATGATTTTAAAGTGACACTGAAACATTTGTTTTTGTTGCTGTTTTTAATTCCTCCTTTTCTCTCTGTAAAGCACTTCGTAACTTTGTTGAGAAAATTACTATATAAATGAAGTTTATTATTATTGTTGTAAATGACAAGTTAAGTTGGAAGCAATAAATCACACCTTTGTTTGATTCAATACACTCAAACTACAAAGGTTTGCTTTAAAGGGGCTGAGAATTTCTGCCCTCATGGGGCCCAAAAAAAAAAAAAAAAAAATCAAGCAGTGAACACAGCACTGACATATTATCACCTTTAATCAGTTGATATGGCTATTTAAACATCAGATATGGAACCTCATTAGCATTAAAATGGAGTTGTTTTTGTGTCGACATGATATTCACACTGCTTTTAGCTCAGTCCTGCTCTCCAGAATCCTGAGGGAAACATCTGGCTCTTCAGCAGCTGGCTAGATTTGTTCACCAGCTAGTTGCTAACTTTTTCTGCTATTTGATGCTCGACAGGAAGGTAGAACACATCCTCAAGTGGGAGGACTAAGAGCTTGACCTAGTATTATTTCATTGGGTGTGGCATATACAGGGCCTGTGGATTATAAAGGTGGAGTCATCAGCTGTGACATAACTTGAAATCACAATCTACTGTATGCTGATATACTGGGTTTATGGTTGATTATTTAAAAAGGCACTCCTTGGAAATAAAGAACACAGATTATCTGTGTTTATTCAAGCTATCAATTACACAGAGGAGTGCAGAGCCAGAGTGCAGTTTATAGGAGTCATCGGTAGCAGAGTTCACCCACTAATTTGTGTTCGAGTAGAATTTGTGTTTCCAGCCTCAACTTCAGAGACTTCGCCTCAGCACCAGAGTTTAGTAATGCTAAAGCTGGTGCCAAGAAAAAGTAAGCAAAAAAACAAAACTACAATCTGAGTCAATATTTTCCCAGTGGGTTTCATGTGTGTATTTATTTTTGTAGAGATAGAGACAACTGTCTATTGCTCTGTATACTGGGTTAGCAGAGAACAAATGCACTTTGAATATCGACCAGAATGAAAGTTACAGGTGACGTTATACAGAAGATACAGAGGCTATAGTTCAATCTTCTTTTGACTTAACTAGATTCAAAGGCTTTCAAATGTTATTCTTTTTCATCTCTAAATCACAAAAACACATTTACAACAGTACAACTACTTGCTGGTTTAAAAATACGTTTAAAGCCCATGTCAAATATTATTAGTCCATAAATAACTTAAAAGTATTAGCTGGTAACCTTTCAAAAAAATCTGACACAAACCTAAAAACAAACTGCCAAACAAAAATTTGACAAATAATGGTGCAGACGTAGCAGCTAATTTCTATGACCACATGGCACTGTTCAATCAGAATGAGACTGAGTGACAACTGAAGAGGCGTACTGACTCAGATAAAGCAAAGGTTGGGTCCACATCCATTTTTAAAATGTGCAGCTGCACTGAAATTATGTCCTATGTTGACTTGAGTAAAGTAAGGCTGAACTTCACAGTTGATCTTAACGAGGTCTATTAAGTACTTGTGCTGCACAAATCAAGTTTAGGCACAGAAAGAAAAAATTACAAAAAACAGTTGGAAGCACTTGAACCAACATAAAATGAATCAAGATCTTAAGGCCACCAACCATTTTCAGCAGCATTTCACATTCAAGTCATTCCCATATTTTGTATTAAAAACAATAACAATGAGTTGATGAATGATCTACCTTTGGCCTCACTTGCACACCTCAGTTATATCATCGTAGACTAGAACGGGTTGGATCCACGACACTCTCAATTTAAGAACTTAAATCAACCAACAACCCGGTAAAACACAAAATAACACTCGTCCTGCATAAAACAATACACACCCTGGCAATATAAAAAGTCCTGGATGGTGTTACTTTGTTCCTACGCAAATGTTACTATACCTGTTGAGTGACTCTGAACTTTCTACCTTTCTATTAATGCTACATATGAACCGTTTTACCTAAGTAGCTCCTCTGTGACCACCACAAGTTATATCACAATCACCACGGCCAAACTTTAGCCAATAAGTAAAATTCTGCAGTGTGGGTTTCCTCTGTTGTCTGCAAACACAACTCCTCAATCTAATCAGGAAACCACTTATCGGTATTAAACTAAAAATAGTTAAAAAAATCAGTTTTCACACATTAGACTGTGCCACAATTATATCACATCAAAACTGACCTCATTAGGTCAATAAATCAACAGCAAAATAAAACTCATTGCTGCCTTGGTTCTTTTAGTCAGACCTGAGGCCAAATTCAATTTCAAATCCATACTGAGTTACATAAAAACTGAAGTCTGCTCATGAGTGACTTCATTTAGGCCTAGATTATGACCAGTAATGGTATAGCCTACCATTACAGACTTTATTGCTGTGATGGATACATGTTGTAAGACCATGAATGTTGACTTCTGTATTTCATGTCAATGAATAAAAGAAAAGCTGAGAGGAAAGACAGAGAAAAGTCAACAAAACATGAAACACTATAATACACCGTGGAGAATGAGCAGCGTTCATGTATGTGGAGGTGGGTGCGTTATTTGTAGTAAATGACTAAAACAAGAAAAACCACTGGCGTGATGCTTCAGGTTGATATGAATCTCAGCAAGATTTGCAAATGAAACCTGACTCTGATCTGATCAGTGACTTCCTGCGTACCACAGTAACACTGCCTCTAAACTACATGTCAAGTCATGTCATTACTTAACAAAAGAAAATGTGCAATTCCAAATTTCCGTATATAAGTGTTTGTGTGCTCCTGGGCACATGTCAGTGTTTATGACCCAGTGCTGTCGGGCCTCTTGAGCACTGCACTGTATTTCATTGGTGCGCTGTCGGCCTTGAGCTGCACCTCCACCAATGTGAAGACTGAAATGACCTGTAGAGGAAACAACAACAAATGATGAACATTGCAGTAAACACTGTCAAACTGCTCGGTCTAAGACACGTTCTGACCATGTTGCTGAGAGTTACATAAAACGCAGCTAGCTAGTCCAACTCTGAGTTAGCAGCCTTGTTTTCTCCTGATTTTATTTTTTCATTTCCTGTTGCTGCTAATTATTGACAACAATCAAACAAAGGTCTAACACTCTGAACTGAAACATGGGTAGGTTTAACATGGGTATTTGTCTGTGCCCCTTAACGTTTACATATTATCAAACTAGTGATTGAAGAATTGGGTTTTATTATTACAGCACTAACATAATAGGTGTAATCACCCATTAAAGAAGTAATGAAAACTATGAAACCTTAAATCTCTCTCTGCATTTAAATTTACATTAGATAAGTGAACGACCGACTGGCAGGCCGGAAACCGTAACCAAAGTATTTTCAGTGTTTGTCCTTCTCACCTGTTCCACCGGAGCTTCTTCTGCGTCCTCTGGTGTCCACACCAGAGTCAGCTCTGATTTCTTCCCCACCTTACGATGGTGAAATGAGTCCAGGCCCGCCACAGACTGAAGGTGGAAACAAACGGTTTCAAGCGGTTTCAGATGAGATTGTCACTTGACCTACCACTGTGGCGTCAAACTTGTTGGACGGTCGGTTGTGTTTCGTACTGTCGACCATAACCTTCTGGACTCTCTCATTTCTCTCTCCTCAGTGAGCTTCTTTTTTTTTAATAAATAAAAGTGAACTTGTGGAGATGAATGACTATGATGAACTGAAAGCCAAGAATCTCTCTAATTATGTCACCTGCACAATAAAACTGAAAACTCTAAGTAAGACTTTTTAGGAGTTTTTTAGAACATAAAAGAATAGATCTAAAAACACTAAACATATGAAAACTTTGACATTGAGGTGAAACTGAAATGGCTTTCTGTAAATTTAGTTTTGTATGTCTGAAAAACTAAAAATACTATTATGTACAAATGTACATGCATATATTTAGGAACCGTTCCCTGTAAATGGAGTGAAGTGCAGCTGACCTTGCAGTAGATGCGTTTCTGCACTCCGTAGCGGAGAACCAGCACATCAAAGGACTGATCCAACACCCCCATCACCATGGCCTCAGAGTCCAGGGGGCCACATTCCTGTAGAGAACAGACCAACCTTGGTTTTCAGTGTATTACATTTTGGGCATCTGGCCGAATTGCTGAACACATTTTCTTTTGAGGAGGAAACTAGATAAGCTCCAACTGCATTTTTCACCCCGTCAGAGCCATTGTAGTCTGGCAATATGATTCCTAACCACCGAATAATTAAATTGAGGAATTGGGCTGAAGAGAGCTGATAGATGTCAAACAGCAGAGAAAATATAAAACATCTCAAATGGAGTTATTAATTGTGTGTAAAACCACATTTCATTAACAATTAATTTATGTTGCGTTTGGTTCGGTCAGTATTTGATGTAAAAACTAAGTATTTTGTTAAAATCGAGACACTGTGGAAACAGCAGAAAAGTATGTTTCCATTGGTCCCACTTGTTGACAACATGTTTTCTGGTCACCCACCTTTACAAACACTCCAAAGAAGAGCTCAGAGCTGAGCTCCTGGACTTTCTTCGACACCGTCTTCTTGTCGTTACAATGCGATGCCTGTTTTTGGACTTCTTCTGTTGACAGCCCTAAGTGAGGCCCGCACTCTGTATGCAAGCAATGAGTGGACAGACATGAACATAACGAGCAAAAACACATAAATAATTCACACATATTTTCGACACAGACACACGTCGTAGGAGCAGACAGAGGCAGGAACAATGGCAAGGAAGGAAACAGGACAAACAACACATCAACTCAACATCAGGTCTGAGGCTGCTTTGTTCTTTTCTGCATTTCTCTTGCACATTAAAAACCAGATATGTCCTGCAACACAAGTGAAGCACTGTTTGCAACAAACAAGACATTCTGTTATTTGTTTTAATGTGTGTGTGTCTGTGAGAGCCTTTTTGTGAGGAAGGTACGCACTCAGGGAAGAAGCCAGCAGCCGGTGCACAATGATGTCAGCGTAGCGTCTGATGGGTGATGTGAAGTGAGTGTAGAGAGGAACGTTGAGGGCGTAGTGCTTAAAAAGCTGCTCGTCCGTCAGTGCACCTGTGCAGAAGTACAACGCCATCTGGGAAACACCAACAACCCAGATTAAATACAGAGACTGATCCTATATATTCACTGTGTATAATCTTTATACTAAATATTGTTAAAATATTACATATTACAGCTTGACGTTTAAGGACCAGTGTGGAGGATTTAGTGGCATCTACAGGTGAGGCTGCAGATTGCAACCAACTGAATACCCCTCCCTTTCCAAGCATGGACGAGAACCTACGGTGGATTTAAGGTAATTCAAAACCAAGACAGGCCTTCTCTAGAGCCAGTGTTTGGTTTGTTCGTTCTGGGAGAGTGTAGAAACATGCACTCTCCCTATGTAGATATGAAGGGTTTGCTCTAAGATAACGAAAACTAAATTCTTAGCTCCAGGTGATTATACACTAATGAAAACACAACTGAGAATATTATGTTCCATTTCTGCTCATAGATCCCACTAAATGCTACACACTGGTCCTTTAAGTTTTTAAACATCTCAATCCCACAAAACGTATATTTTCATGTTTTATGTTTTTCTTTCAAGGCAACAACTATTACAAAACAGTGCATGTGAAGTTAGCAGTCTTCAGTTTATATGAAAAAGTGTATTCCACAGAAGCTTGATAAATGGATTAAAGTTCAAACAGAGAAACATCAAGTGGACCATGCTACTAACCTGCATGGGTCTGGAGCACATGTGGGTGAGGACTTCTTTTCTGGCACTGGTGTACTCATCATCACCAAGAGTAGTATTGAGACTCTTCTGCATGTTGAACACAAAAAGGAAAACAGTCATTCAGTCATTCATACCTTCAGTTATTCTTTTACATCATTTTCGGTAAGGAACTAAAAGGTCTTGTGAAATATATATATATATATATATATGCTGCTTATTTTCATTTCCTCTTTGTGTGATCATGCAAAAGCTGGAAAACATCAGGAGAAACAGCTGACACCGTCTGTCATTGTGAGAAATGGACAATTGAATTTAATCATTCTGAATTTACTCACTTGAAGATAATGTTTAAACTCAGCAGAGAGAACATAAACCTTGTGCCTTGTACTATTCCGATTCAGGACAAAAATATTTTCTAATTGTTCCTGCGAGATTAGACATTGGGCTACTGACGTGCAATGCTCCTGCAGAGGACAGGTCGACGTTAATGCCCAGCTGGTCACACAGCTCCTGCAGCTCATCCACCATCTTGGTTTTTGGTGGAGGGTGGCGTCTGAGCAGGGCCAGCGCAGGGAATTTGCGGTAGATGTGGTGGGCAGTGGCGATGTTAGCCAGTAGCATGAACTCCTCAACCAACCTAGAGGACAGAGTTATGGGTAACAGTGAAATAATGGCCAGAGGGGGTAAATAAGAAATGAGAACAAAGGAGGACTGATATTTACGCAGTCCAGAATGATCAAGAAATATATTTCACCACTAGTTACACATCTGCCTTATCAAATACATGTTCATTTTGGAAGAGAAAGAGATACAGACACAGATGCATCTGTGGAGGGTTTGTGACTCACTTGTTACTGTCTCTGTACTGGTAAACATAGCAGCCTTGAGGCATCATGGTCTCTTTGTCCAGAGTGAAAGACAGTTTCAACTGAAACAAAAAACACGATAAATATACAGATATAAAATGTTAGAGCGCTGACAAACTGAATAATACGAGTTTTGTTTCAATACACTTCTCAAATATTGCTGGGTTATCATATTGGTCAGATCAAATAATCTTGTTAAATCTCTTCCAGCTAACTGTTAAATTATCTCTGATCATTATGGGCTGTCATTTTGAAATAAACATGTGAGGAGAGCCAAAAACCATCAGCAGCAATTATTCATGTCCTATTTATTAACTGTGTAAGGAAACTTTACCAAAAACAGACAGATTAACAAAGATTATAAAGATTATAAAATCAAAAGATGAACTAAAATGACAATTACAAATCCACTCTAGTCTGTGGTGCATTATCATAATAATTTACGTTGACAGACAATTAATTTGGTGATTAAATCTAAGAAGATTTACTTGATTTCAAGCAACATCTAATACAGATAAATGACAAAATTTTGACCGAGATGAAAATATGAAAGTATTTTGTCATATATCAAGATTAGCACTGTAAATATTTCCAAATTTTTTAAGAGCTACAAATTAGCAAATTGATTTTCCACACTTAATCTGCGCTGAAAGTTCAGATAAATTGGGCAACGGTTAGAGAGCATGATACTCTCTCTATGACATCTCTGTCATGCACCACTGTACACTGCTTACCAAAGACATAAGACGTCACATACCAGACATGTAGGACTAACCTGGTCCAGTCTGAGCGCTCCGCCTGAAAAGCGTTGGGCTCTGAGGTTCTTGGCAATAGAGTGCAGACTGAGCACAGCCTGGTGGATCTCATCTATTGGATGCACAGGATCCACGGGTGGCAGCTCCTCAGCTGAGAACATCTTCTCAGGGGCCTCGATCAGACTCTGAGCGTGGTCGTAACTCAACTTCACGCAGGAGCGGATCACTGAACGGCCGAACCACTCACTCAGGATCTGAAGGGGGGAGGGCAAGTGAAGTGGAACCAATGAGATGAATCATCAACCATAAAAAAAATGGCATAAAATTCAGCTTAATCAATCATCCATCAGATACTACTCTTAATCTGTGCGACTCTCACAGGTCCATGAATTTTAAATGATCATACCTTCCCCTCGGGTGTGATTTTCCAAATAACAGAGAAAGTGAGTCTGTCGGTGAGAGGGTTGAGACTGCACAGCTCCTCACAGAGCAGCCGAGGTAACATGGGAATCACCTGGACAATGACAAAACACACAAACACACTGAATACTAAAGAATACTAAAAGAATGGAAGATATAGCCGCAACAGAGAAATCGGCAGCCACATCAGTCAGATGCTGAGTTGGTTATGCGCAGAAACACCCAAGAAGCCATAATGCAACAACATCTGCATGGTCAACTCGTAGTTTGACACATGAAACCACGTGAAGCAGCTAGTCATTTTGAAAACAAAGTGTAAACAAAGGAGTATTCACCTTTTGAACAAGGTACACACTAGTTGCTCTTTGGCTGGCAATGGCATCCAGAGCGTTGTCCTCCTCCACAAAATAACTCACATCGGCAATGTGGACTCCAACCTCAAAGTTCCCTGTGTTAAAAATATCCAATGAAGACATACTATAGCAAAACCTCCAGAAACACATGATCCTTCATTATAAGCATCATCATCATCATCAATGAGCATCAGACAGCAGTTTACCATCTGGGAGTTGTTTACACGACAGGGCATCATCCAGATCTCTGGCGGTCGCAGGGTCGATTGTGAAGATACACTCATTCCTGCATGTGATAAAATAGTGCTTTGTGAATCATATGAATACACGACCTAAATTAAGACTTCATACACTCACTTGCTCCCATTGGACAACAAAGCTTGTAATTATTAGTAGTCCGATTATACTGTATAAATAGTGCGCAAATACCCTGAGGCAAAGCTGGATCTGGCTCATAAAGCATGTTCCCGCTCAGAACATAATAAAAGGGAAGACTACATAAGCATGTAGGGTTTTCACAGTCATACCTCAGGTCTCTCCTCTTCATCATCTCCTCAGGCGGGATGGTCCAGGGCAGGTTGTTGGGGAGGCAGTCCAGCACCTCATCTGAGAACTCAGTAAAATCGACATTGTACTCTGTCAGGATGCCCTCCGTCTCTGGCTCGATTTCTCCCGCCTGCCCCAGGGTCTTGGCAAGTTGACTAGGGGGGAAAACATTTAGAGACAATCAGGACGGTCGTCAGACCAGAGTGATACTGTTAACTGTGTCATGTATCTATACACACCCATCTGCAAAGTTGCTGTCGGCTTCCCAGTTGGTGATGCGACAGATGAACAGGGTGTTGGTGTAGTCGCCCGAGCGGGATCTGAAGTCTTCAGGACAGTCGGGCAGGGGAACGTTAATCCTTGGCACGCGGTGGTCCACGGGGGAGAACATGGCAAAGGGCTTGTCTGGTAGGAACTTCAGGAAGCCTGTCGCAGCTCTTGAGTGTTTCTTCTCAACAATGTACACGACCTGGCAGACAAGTGCAGAGGATGAGGGAAGAACAGTGAGGATTTCAATTCAGTCAGTACAGCAGCATCGAAGCATTTTTTTGGATTTTCTGTGCAAAATCTCCATTTTAAAATCGACAAAAAACATGAGGAACTAGAATTAGTAATCAGATCATCAGTCCAAATGAATGTTTGTGCCAAATTTGAAGAACTTCTCATGGCGTTCCTGAGATATCGCAAAAACATAATGCCTCCGACCACGGCTGTATGACTCTAGTTCCTGGTGTTGTTTTTCAGAGTAAAACCCCTCCAGTGAAAAGGCCTTTATTATGAAGTAGCCAGATGAATGAAGTTGTTGTCAGTGGTGGCAGCTCTGCAGTTCATTTTGGCCTGAATCTACATGTTTTTTTCAGTCTGGGATGAGTTTAAAAAAGTCAATAGAAGGAAAGGGTAGAAAGAGACAAAGAGTGACAGATAAGGAGGAAGCTCACTTTAGCAGTCTTTTGGAGTATTTCACCATTGGACCGCGGGGTTGAGGGGTCTTCCAGGCGTCGCCCTGTTTCCATCAGATGAGAGGAAGAGTGAACATGGATTAGCTAAACTATTGTTTTCACTCTTCAGAATAGTAAATAAACATTCAAACAGTGTTTACGTTACCAAATATCAGCAGTAGTATTATAATTGGATACCACATCTGTAATAATGTTGATATGCAAAGGCTTCTACATTCTCTCCATCTTCACAGTACCTGTGTCAGTGAGAGTGGTATTCTGAAGTTTGCTGCACACTTCATCCTGGTCACTGCAATGGTCCTCCACAATAACATCAGGCCTTCGGGTGCGCTCTGTCTTCTTCTGCATTGTTTGTGCAATGTGTTCTCTCTGGGCCTCTGACTCACTGGCACCCTCACAGTCAGTATCTGACCTCACAACCTGGACACACACAAACATTCATCACCTGTTGATCACTCACTACTTTTACTGTCCTGGGGAAAATAGCTAAAATAGACCCTAAAAGAAGCTTTGAAAAGTTGGTGCTAAAGTTTAAAACATGGAGTCTCAAACTAAATAGGTAAGTGCAGTTTTACCTTCCACTGTTCCTGAGGTAGGACTTGCACCACCACAATGTCTCCATTCAGTGCTCTGTTGCGAGCTACAATCCCATCCAGAAATATATCCCGCGTGTCATCCTGCAAACATACAGAAGATTGTTCATCTCCTGCCTTTCTAACTATTGATGTAAACTGTTCAAGATGGATGTTAAGGTACTGGCTAATGCAGTGAAGTCACATTCATTATGTATACATGTTACAACATAGCTACCAGGTGATATACAGAACTAAATAGACAGGTTACTGAGGCAGGAAATTGCGATGTGTCAAATTTGTTAGCAAGTCAAAATGCTTGAAAATAAGCTAAATCAACTTACAGGAGATGGGATGAAAGCTTCATGGTACTTCTTAGGGTTGATTCTCAGTTGTCCCTGCAGAGACAATATGCATTAGTTGACAATGACCTTGACCTTGAACAAAGTGGCCCCAAGGCTGGATTACCCAAGTTTTCAACTGCCACAGGCTCTGCAGGCTCCACACCTACTCTTATGTCAAGTAATTGTGCTAATTTACTTGGAATGAGGAAGACCTTAATTTGGGTCCTGCTTTGTTACCTAACATTGAACTCTTCCTTAAACCCTGTGTCAAAGTCCAATTTCAAGCTTAACTTATTTCTAAGAGTTTTGTACTTGTATGTTACATATTTATAGATTAATGTGTTTCATGAAATTACAATACAGCAAACCCAGGGCCCAAAGTATTCCACTGTATAAGAACTATACACAGCGGTAAAAAGGGGCATTACAGAGCATCATAATACAATTTGTTATTGATAAATTTATAATTACATACAATAATGAAATGAGCATGAAATGAGCATGTCCCTATCATTTTACCTCCTGTGTGATTGTGTTATATTTAATGTCATGGCTCTGGAACAGCTGCTCTGTACCTGAATGAGCTCTCCTCTTTTAAGCCCATGGGAAACCTCCTCAAATGTCATGTAGGACTCAAACACTTGTTTCCTTGCCCCTCTGCCTCCTTTGTTCTTACGTTTGTCAGCAGGAGAATTGGTAGTTAAACCTGAAAAAGAAATAACGTAGTGATTTATTCCATCATAGTGCATCGCATGTATAAAACTACATTATCAAATAGCAAAATTTGCCTGCACCTGCTGAGAATTAACATCTCAAAAACTAACCTACAATTTACCTCGGGGCTGCTGCGGTTTTTTGTCTTTACCATGAGGAGACATGGGCCTTGACAACTGAGTGTCAGCCCCAGGCCCTTCTCTGCTTCTGTCCTCGTCTGGTTGCTTTGGCAGATTCTTTTTCTTCGACTTCATCATCTTTTCTTGTTCCTGTCCACTTGTACTGGCTTTCTTTGGAGAATGAGGAAGACCAACAAACGAGTCAGTCCCTTTTGAGTCCTTGTTTTTCTTCTGCTGCTTCTGAGGTTTGTGCGAATCATTAGGTGTTAAACAGCTGAGCTCCTCCCCAGACTCAATGTCCCCATCCTGGCTGGTGGTGGTGTCCCTTCTCTGTCCCCGTCGCTGCCTGTCAGACACACCTTGCTTCCTTTCACAGTCCTGCTGAGGATTGCGACTGCTTATTTTCTCCATGTACAAGGACAATGAACTGTCCTCTCCTTTACTTCTCAAGGAAGAGGGGGAGAAGTCACTCGAATCAGAGAAATCATTAGGCACTTGGTCTCTTTTTCTCTGTGGTATGTTCAGCCTGTCACTCTGGGCTTTGAGCAGTGTGCTTGGCCCATTTCCTTCCCTTTGACATGACAAGTCCTTTGCATATTGCTCTAGATACAAACTGAACTTGCTGCTGCGGTGCTGGCTGAGAAGCCTGGCATAGGCATCTTTCTGAGGAGGAGTGCTCGACTGATTCTGGGTGCGCTTCGGCTCTCGATTCACGTTAGCCTTCTTAGATTGCAAAGGAGAATCCATATGGCAATCTTTAAAGATGCAGTCTCTGAAAAAGCAATAATCATACTCCATGAGTGTTGCCATTAGGGGGTGAAACAATGATCATAACTTTCAGACAATGTAGACAAAATATGCACAAAAAGAGAAGATCATTATCTGAAGTTCATTTGGTGAAAATGAAAGCAGCTCTTCAACAGCTGGCTTGTTGCTGAATTATCTACTCATCTTACATCATGCAGTTTAGTCATTAGTACACACATAAGCATGAATGGAAGGTAACCACGTTATGTTAGCTAAATTTACATTCTTCGGGATGATGGTTAAAAGAGAGAACAAAAGCTATATTATCCCATTTATCTACGGGTTGTTGTCTTAACAAGTTAAAAATGCTTTTTTCAAGCATATCCTATCTTACACTTAACAGTTAACAGTTACCTAACGTTACGAATGTTAGCAGTGCTTGGCTAGCATCAGCTAGCAACTTGCAACGCCAAGTGTTGGTTTAACGTTAAGTAACTACTTGTTCGTCAGACAGACCACGACCACGACCACGACAAACCACTCGAAAATGTACAGACAGGCTGTCAAACCTCAAATTTTATACATTACCTTATTAACTCCGGTGAAAGTTCTGTAACTTGGCTGTCGTTCACAGCCAAATGCTAGTAGCTGCTGCGTTCACTTCCTCCGTCGTCATGAATGGTAACAATCACGCTACGTTTGGGTGCTGTAGGAAATATCGAAATTAGCCGACAGTACAGAGACGCCCCAATGGGGAACGTTAGTTTATCGTCAAGAAATCTGTGGTAATATATATTAATACTGTACAATATATGTTTGACATTGTCTTTAGCTTTCCATGCAGTATGCCCCTCTCTTTTACAGCACAAGTAGCCCAGTTTTGTGTGATAATTTTAGGAGATGGTCCATAAATGGAACCCAGTAAAATTACCACTGGTGCTGTGACGTTCCAGTGTTCACTGGATGGAGCAGCTGCATGACTCCTCTCATGGTTTGGATGATAAGAGGCCACAAGAAACCTTTAGAGGGCAGCAATGACCAAATTTTTTATTTATTCGACCACACAGTGGCAGACTGCTGTATGTGTGTGTGTCAGTTGTGATGAGGATAGGGAGAAAGTAAATCATCAAACATTCAGTCTGAGGGGTGTGTGTGTGTGTGTCCTATTCTCCTCTCTCTCCTGACAAGCTGATTTCACACCTGTCTGTTCATGCTTGCATAGGAGAAGACAACTCATGAAGGCTATTTGAAACGCACACACATACACACATCCTTCAGTTTAATTCCCCAGGGATAGTGGGAGTGCTTTTTGAGACAACACAGGCTGGGTTTTCGGACATCTGAGGGTATAATTTAGATGAGGCTGTCATGTCTCACCTTGACAGAGGCTGAGAATGTCTTTCAACACTAAGTATGCACACATATGTATGCGTTTACACACACACACACACACACACACTGACAGTTGCCTTGTAATTAAGTTATGTCAAAGCTTTGCATGATCGGTGAGAGAACATTATGTCTGAGCTGCTGTTGCTCATAACTGTCACATGTCATGGAAGGGAATAACAGCATGAGCTTGTGACCCCGCTGCCCGTTGGCCTCATTGGTAACACCACAAATCCCATCTTTTCTAACACTTTAACAAACCTACTCAGCCTGTCTGTGTTGTAACCAACCTGTGCTGTAATGTTTGTCAAATGGAGATGACATAATAAGGCTGTAACTGGGTTAAAATATGATTTAATTAAGTCTCACCTGCTGTTACAGTATTACACATAGACTGTATTTATGCCCATCCAGTATAGACTGTACTTAGAGCTGGGTGTTATGTATATAACAGTAACTTGAAAAAGTATTAAATAGGGAAGTGAACCAGTATGACCAAGGGACATCATAAAGACATTCAGTCCAACAGCAACACTGAGCATTCATCTTTGATGAATAGGAGGAAGATTCTTTTCACATGCATGTCTTTGGTCTGTGGTTGGAAGATTATTTTCACCTGCATCAGTTAATAAACTCTGCTACAGATTGTAGATTGGGAAATGAACATAGTTACAGTTTTCAGCAGTGTTTTTCATCTTCATCTGGCAGCTGCAGTTGATGTGTGAACCAGAATATCGGCAGTTCACCTGTTTCTACTTTTAACCACCAGAAAACTGGTTGATTGGCCTCAGAATTACTTCTGATGAACAACAGAGCTTCAGCTACTTTGCAAAAAAACAAAATCACCTCTTTATTTTCCCCATTTACCTCATCATTTGTCTTCATCTTCTCCTTGAACATCATCTGTTACTTTTCAAGTCCAGTCAGTTTTTATTTATATTGCTTCAAATCACAACAGGAGTTATTTCAAGGCACTTTTCAAATAGAGCAGGTTGAGACCATACTCCTTATAATAGTGATTACAGAGACCCAACAATTCCCACCATGAGCAAGCACTTGGCGACAGTGGCAAGGAAAAACTTCCTTTTAAGAGGCAGAAACCTTGAACAGACCCAGACTCAGGGTTGGCGGCCGCCTGCCTCGACCGGTTGGGATGAGAGAGACAGAGATACCGTTCTGACACTTACTAGTCTAAGCTGAGACTCAAAAGGAAGAGACACGAGTGGTCATTTCCATCATCAGCACATCGAACCCATCATCAAACAGGTTGGTAACCATATCCTTCAGTATGCTGACTGTACTTCCAGCATCTATTCAGCAACCAAAGTCAGAAAATATTTCCCACTGACAGAGTTTTGATATTGCTGCATTAGCACATCTACAGAGGTGAATACCAGAAGATGCTGTTATGACAGTAAACTGCATCTGTGTAAGGAGCACCATAATTCATATCTATAAATATTAAAATCTACACTGGCGTGATATGGATCAAGGTTCTTGATATAATTTGGAGAACATTTTAAGCCTCTGAAAATGAGCTTCTTATCAGTGAGAAACCCAAACTTACACACTTGTAAGGGATAGTTATTGGTGTCTTTCCATTTCCTTTTCAAGTTGGTGTTTGACTGTAGATTTTCTAAGAAGAAGAAAGAAAAAAAAAAAAAAACACCCTTAAAAGCACAACATTGTTAACTTTGCTTTGATTAAACATCTAGTGAGCCCTGGTCACTTTCCTGCTGGCAGCAGCTTTCAACTTTGCTTCTTTTAGTTCAGATGCAGCTCTCTGCATGGGTGCAGTAGCAAAGCACACTCCTGCATGTAGGGGGAGGTGGTGGTGTGTGTGTGTGTGTGTGTGTGTGTGTGTGTGGGGGGGGGGGCATCAGAGAAAATATCCTTTGCTTCATAAGATTTTTTTCCTTCCCTTGCTATCTTCTGAGGTAATCTAAAGGAACCTCTGGGAGAACAGAAAGCGTGGGTGAAAGAACGGCTGGTACAGCGGCCTCTACCACTATTGCGGTTGTGCAGACCCAAGTTGTAAAGCATGCAGATGAAGCAGCAAATAACTATCAAATATTTATCAGGCCAGGGGAGGCAGTGCAGCTTGTAGAAGAAGATGAAATAGAGGGGGCAGTAGCAGTCACTCTCTTGTCTCCTTCTCTCTGATGCTCCTTTTCCAATTGGTATTACATGTCAAACAATGAGGCTGATTGAGCGTGTGAGTGTAAATGTGTGTGAGAAGTGTAAATTTCAGGTGTAGCTGTAGATGCTGCAGGGCCAGGCTACCTTCCTCCTCACGGGCTGCAGCGAGCAGCGAACAGATTGGGGAGATCTCTGCGGTCATCACCTACCACTGCCATGGCAACGGCCTGCAAGTCACCCCGGGCGAGCTGCACACCGCAACGCCCATTTACAGTCTGGGGCTGACTCCTGATCAGCAGTGGAGAATGTCAGAGTAGATTTTTATGATCAACACCAGATGGTTTGAAGTATCTGAACACAGGCAGCAGCGACTGGAAAGCTCACTCTCTTATTTGCTCACTGTGAGTAAGAGAGGCGTGTGACATACAAATGACAGTTCACCTCTCTGACTTCCGTTGTTTACATTTATACATGTGTGAATTATGTCTGTATAACTGTGTCCATGTATATAACATACTTTTTTTCACATCTCTTTGTGTACCGTTGGTCTGGGGTTGTGTTTAATTTTTAAACTCGGCATCTTAGTTCCAGTTAAAGAAAATCTTAATGCTACAGCATTAAGTGATATTTAGCGTAGACAATATGGTGCTTCAGGCTTTGTGGCAACAGTTTAAGAAAGGCACGCTGCTGTTTTACCAATTATGTGTTAAAGAACTTTGCCGGACAGACTGCAATCAAGGGCTCATCACCCAGCCTCACTGATGCTCTTTCAGGCTGAAGGGGAACAAATCCCTGCAGCCAGGTTACAAAAGCTAATGGAAAGTCTACCCAGAAGAGGTGTCCACATATCTTTGGCCATGTAGTGTGCATTGAAATGTATAAAATATTGTGTTCCATTCTATTATATTCAGTCTAATTGCCAAGCTGCTCTTCCATCTTCAAAACTGAATGCCCGTCACTACTACTGCTCCCACCTTTCTGCCAAAAGTATGAGGACACCCCCATCTATATTGTTATAGGTACTTATGGTCAGGAGCGGTTTTTATGATTTGGACCTTTAGTTCCATTAAAGAAACACTTAATGCTACAGCACACAATGATATTCCAACCCAGTTTTTCCTTAACTTATAGATAAAAGCTGCAAACCATAATAAAGAAAGAAAACTTTAACACAGAAAGTTGAACACGCGTTTGGATTGTGCTGGAGTTTCTATCTTTATCTGTTCATGAGTTCTGCTCATTCTTTGGTGCAGTATTCATGGGTGTTTTTTTGTCTGCCCCTTGAAAAATCATCTCCAAAGCCTCTGCTGCACTAAACACCTGACTGGTCACATCCTTCTGTCTGTTTTCTGACACTGCAATAAACTCACAACTTCTCCTCACTTTGAGCTCAGAGTGAAACAGTGCCACGCCCATGTAGTTTGGGCAGGCCACGCCTCTGAATCAGACACTCTGATTGGCTGTGATAGCACCCACTGGAGCCAATAGGAATGTCCAATTCAGTAACGTGACTCTAGAATGCTCACTTTTAAAGATGGCGGATGAGAATCAATCTTAAACATACAGAGAGAAAGCAGCAATGCACCATACAAACAATAAGACTGACCAAATATTTTCTCATTTTTCACATTAGTGTATCTTTGGAAAGCTTCTCTAGTTCAACCCGAAAAAACAGCATGTTTCTAGCTCAGAAGATCGTAGAGTTATGATGCTCCAAAGACAATGTGATATTTGGGAGCATATAAGCTCCCACTGGCTTCAGAGGGAAGGGACACTCCACAGATTTTACACATCATGTTCAGTTTAGTTGTTGCTATAGCACTGCTCAGTTTTCCAAATTAACCCTGCAAAGAACCTGTGGCTCAAGAGGTTTGGTCCATTAATGGCAAGGTCGGTGATTTGATCCCTGAGTCCTTGTGTCAACAAATCAAAGTGTCCTTGAGCAAGAGACTGAACATGGTCACTTCACTGACACTGGTGTGTGAATCTGTGGGTAAGAGGAAAAAGTGACTCAAGTGATTTTTTTTCTGATAAGTTAGAAAAGTGTTATAGAAGAGCAATCCACTTACGTAAGTGAGTAAGTGAGTAAGTCACACAAGTTGCTTCAAGTCGAGTCATTGATCTGATCAAGGAAGTCAAGTTTCCACATTAAAACAGTGGTCAGGAAAAGTTTAGTTTTACTTTACAACATTAACAAAAACTGTTGCAGCTGCTTACACCTCACACATCTTACTGATATTTGACATTTTGTGACAATGAGTCCAGATCTGTGACCGCAGCCACCCACTCCTACAATTATTATTTTTAGTCTTATTATTAACATGACCTCCACCAAGGAGGTCATGTTTTCACCTGTGTCTGTTTATTTGTCAGAAAAAAGTACTGAAGTTATTTGCACCAAACTTGGTGGAGCAATGGCGCATAAACCAGGGAAGAATCCATTACATTTTGGTCTGGATCCGGTTAAAGGGGCAGATCCGGGATTCTTTATCACTTTCCTTAATGTGTAGGATTGTTTGGCCTTGGAGGAGGTATGTGCTCCACTGAGTGCCATTGTAGTTATCAGTATTACAATACATCTCTGTGGAACCTGCATTGTGCCATGTTCTCTTTGCTCCTACAATCCAAATGTTAGTATTTTTGGACTGAGCCCCTCCCCATGATAGCTGGTTATTGGCCACCACACTGGAAATCACCTATTCATGTTTCAAAAACAAAATCTAACTTTTCTAAAAAGAAAACATCTAGAAAAATGCAAATATTTAATAAAAAAAAAAAGAAAGTCAAGTCCTTTTGAGTCGTCTGACTTGGTGTTCATGACTTGAGACACGGCTTAGGTTTAAGTCAAAGTTAAAGTCAAGTCTTTTATCAGTCTTGGTTAAGCATTTGTGACAAGTCTGACTTGAGTCAAGTCATGTGACTCAAGTCCCCCATCTCTGCTGTGGAGACACATTTTGGAGGTGTGGAAATTTAAAGCAGGCAGGGGCGCTCTAACGTAAATTAATTGCATTATGGGAAATGTAGCATTCAGAGTTTTGGTGTCCATAGTTCAGACAAAAGGTTGGGAGATCTCAACATCTGCTGCTTTAAATTAGAGAAGTTTAACCCTTTTAATGCGCATGTTTTTGGTGTGTCACATTCAGCAGTCACATATAAGAGTAATTTTTGGCCATAGAGTGAGCACAGTAACACATGTAATACAACATATATGTTGTATCCTATTCTATTTTTAGATTCGGTCTAATCGCCAGGCTGCTCCTCCATCCTCATCACTGAAACATCTTCATCACCACCTCCACCCTCGCACGTCTTCCTACGGGCGCTACTTTCAGCACCGGACAGCTCCAGTCGTTTCCCACGCTCCGCCCACCTCCGTCAGACTGGCAGTGGGAAACAACCACACACACCGCTGGGCGACACTTCAAGTGGCCTATTAGGGTTTTATTGGGAGGGACGGAACTTCAGGAACAATTTGCTACGTCCCTCGTCATCCTACTCGTCTCACATGGATTTCTCCGAGGAGGAGTAAAAAGAGACCGTGAGCACTCGGTTCTCACGTCGCTGCATGTGAATGGATTGCGGACCGATGAGGAGTCAGTGTTGTTTTTGAGTTTAAAGACCGGAGAGTGTCTGGGCAGCTGTTTGGGTCAGATGGTGGTGTTGTAAAAGCGGGCAAGAAGAGGGAGAAAGTCTCGGGTAAACGATGCACTGGATGAGAAGTGGAAATCCTTCATCGTTTCCAGCTTGATTATGGGTTTGAAATACGGGGCATTCTGTGGTGTGTGCTCCATGTGTGTCGTCCCGTGAAACAGCGGAAGACGGAGAGTGGCTTTGGTTATGCTCGCCACACTTTGCCAAGTGCACGCGGTGTCATCTCTGCGCCTGTGAGGAGGAACCATGGCTCTGCTGGTCGTCCCGCTGCTTCTGCAAACAGGGCTCGTTCTGGGATCAAACTACGGTTATGTGGAGTGGTCTGATAATGACAGAGACGACAAGAACCCGCCAGTCTTCAGCACCCAAAACATCAACAGGGAGCCGCCCCACCACCCGACCTACTACTCGCTTCCATCCACCGAGCGCACGGTGGTGGCGCACAAAATTGAAGAGGACCTGCCGAGGGTGGTGACGGCTTTCCTGCACACCGGGGACTCCTCGGCGCTGAGGCAGGTGAACTGTTCGCGCAGGTACGAGCTGAGCAGCCTGCGAGGCGGCCTGCACGTCGCCTCCCACTACTCCCTGCACAGCATCCTGGACACTGTAGCGCACGCAACAAACTTCCTGAACATGATCCTGCAGGCCAACAGGTCCCGGGAGCAAACCCTGCGCAGGGACATCCACTGGTACCACGCGCTGGTGCAGAGCATCCTCGAGGGGGACCCCAAAATCCACAGGGCTGTGGTGACCTTCCACGCGGACGCGCCAACGCCGGGGCCCCACGTTTTCCTCCAGGCTACGAGAACCGAGAAGGAGGTGGTGCTGCAGGACCTGTCCAGCACTGCGCACCGTCACCTGGGGAGCAGGGGCCCGGAGTCGGACTGGTTTAATGAGTTTAGGGACGGGAGGAGACCACACTCGCACAGGAGAGTCCCGGAGGCACGGGGCGCCAAGAGTGGAAGTTACCTTCTGGACAAAAACCAGATCAAGTGGTCGGCACCGTACCTGGAGTGTGAGCACGGGGCGTTTGTGCCCTATTGGCTGCTCACCTTGTCTGCTGGCTTCTATGGACTGAAGAGCAACTCTGCACCAGAGTTCAGGTGAGAGGGAGTGTGTGTTTGAGAGAGAAAGAGCCAAAAGATGCTGCTTGTGTTTGATACATTCAGCAGAAATAAATATTCATATTTCATGTATTAAAGTATCCCACACTTTTTTCTTGATTAATATAAAACTTTCCAGAGGGAGATAAAGTCCATCAATCAATTCATTCTACCTTTTTAAACCACTACAGTCATTAACAGTCAGCTATGGAAGCAGATATTGAAAGTATACCCCTCATTGATTGACAATAATGCACTATGAGACTTTATGTAAATGTGGATCCTGCTGAACCGAGGCCTTGATGCAGGAAACAGATGGCGTAAAAGCCGCTTCACAGACACAGGTAGACCTTTCTCATTTAATATGCTCGCCTGTCAAAGCACAGCTGTGCCTCTCTGCTGCTGTATCCTACAATCCAATGAACAACTGCAGGCTTTAGCTACACAGTGTTTGGTGGTGAGTGAACTGATACGAGCTGGCTCTTTGTGTCTGTCTCTGAGTGAGTGAGTGTGTGTGTGTGTGTGGGAATGTGTACAGCATGAAACACCCAAGGATCTCATATGTCAAGGCTCCAGTCCAAGAGTATCACAAAAAGATCAATTAAATCATGAATAAACAATGTAAGATCAACAACTGTAGGATGAAGCCACTGAATTTCAGGTGCACTTAAGTCTCACAACAGTCTGAGCAGAGTAGGATCACACAAGACGTTCAGTCCGATCAGATAACTCCTGTAGTAAATCCCAGATAAGAGAGGTTTGTCCCTGACACCATCACTTCTTCAGTCGTTTGAGAAAATAAAATTCAACTTCAAACATTCAAATAAAAACATTGTACTTACACCTCAAGCAAGATTTTAGTAAAATCTACCATAACTGCAACTGGTGCACAAATAGGACGAACTGAATATGGATGATATTTTATTTGGAAGAACAGACACAAATGTTGCTCAGTGGTTTTATAGGCACCAGCGATTTGGGCCTCAAGTTGGCAAGCATCCACGCCGTAGCCGTGTCCCTGAGCAAAGTGCTGCATCACTACCTGCTCCAGGGACAGTCACGGTATCTATATATCTTCATATGATGAAGATGAGTGTGGGGTTACCACAGAATCCATTCGATCAGTATCATCTTGATCTGCAGTTTTAGCTTACGCAGGAATCCAACTGACATTTATTGCAACAGCTCAGAAGCAAAGTGTCTCTCTGATACAGTTTCAGTAACAACTCAGAAAATCTGCCTGTGATGTTCTCGTTCATCTCCAAAAATAAATGACTTATTGCCTGTCTGGGATAATATTGCCTGTCTAAAACCATCAACTCGCCACAACGTCTAACAAGTGGAGAGAAAATGCTTTCAGTTGCCCTGAGGCGACTGATATTGTTAAGTGTCATTAAATTAATTCAGCAAATGCATTCATAATGAATCAATCAAAAAGTCAAGCTCAGCCAAGAAGGTTTTGGGTAAGTGTTAAAAGAGTGGTGACATTTTACAAGTGACTGATTCGTGACAGTTAGAGGGATACTTTCATTTGTGTGTTAAATCCCATAAGAACGTCGAGAGGCCAGAAACTCCAGTGTGCTGCAGCATGAAACGTGTTTGTTGACTGAATCATTAACTGAAAATTTAAAGGGTGAGAGAACAGAGGTTGTGTGATTTGCTGTCTTCACGAGGGACATAATGAAATGTAAAGTAATACAGTTTGACACATACTAATATTTTTTTTTTTCTCCCAGAGCTTTCAGTCATGTCACATGGTTTTCATCAGTGGTTGGAGTTTGCTCAGTTGTTATGGATCCATGCGAGCTTAGTAGCTGTTGTGATTTTATTCATTTTTCAAATGATGAAAACTCATCCTTGACCTTGGACGCAGTAGTTCAACAAATTGCAAACTCAAGGTCCACTTACTAACTTTTTTTTTTTTTTTTTTTTTGGAGCCTATTTCTCATGTTGGTGTATAAAAGTGCAATGGATGATGACAACAGATCCATGTCCAAAACAGCTTAGCCAACATGATGAAGACAATGTAGTACAGTTGAAAGCCTTTAAAAAAGTCTAATAAGTGGACCTTGAGTTGGCATTGTTTGGTCAAATTAGGGCTTTAATTTCCAAGACTTGATATTAACTTTCCACCTTGGAAACAGTAGTTCACATATCGGCAAGTGCAGCGGATGATGACAACAGATCCATGTCCAAAACGATGTTGGAGGCTTTACAGAATCTAGTAAGCAGACCTTGAGTTGGCATTGTTTTGTGAAATTACAGTGTCCAAGGTCACGTATTAACTCTCATGCTCAAAGTAATGTTTGGCACTTGGTTGTGAAGTCAGCAGAGGGAGCCAGGGGAGAACTCAAGTTGAAGGGAACTCAGTGGTTATTACCAGCACGTCAGCATGAAAGATGCACTCTCTAATTGAGTATAAAGATTGCCTGCAACTACACAACCAGATGCACGCCGCCTTTCCGCCTCACCCTGTAAAATGAGTTGTGGTCTGCAACTTTCCTGCGGTTTATTTCCACTCATCTCACGCCTCTGATGACATTTCTAAAAATAGAAAGTTGGTTGGCTCTGGACAGAGAAGCGTAAGCTAGTGTAGATGATAGAATCAGTTCCACCATGTTGTACTCCTTCTACCTCAAAGCAGCCTCTTCCTCATCTTTATTCCCCTTTCTCACTGTCCTTCCAGGCCAGATTTAGAGGAGACTACGGAGAGGCCATCAGTGTTTCTGAACTAATCACCTCTCTTACAAAAACTAACGGCCTTCAAATTGAAATGATGGTTGCAGATTTGAAGCAGAGTCGTGAGGTACGAGAGGAGAGGGAGAACGCCTTGAGGCACAGCTGGACACTTACATTCAGTGGTGCTGTTGAGTTTGTCTGTCAGGATACAGTTAGCTTGGAGCTAGCTTTAAAGCTGCAACAAGTTCCATTTTGAAATCACCAAAACAGCAGTTACCAAAAAAACAAAACAAATAGCAGCATCACTCTGAAGACTCAGCCTCATATTTGGGTTGGGTCACACAGTAAGAGCACAAACCGTCTGCAGAACAGAACTGTTGAAGCTAATGCTACAGAGCTTTGTACCGGGTCTGTTGGCGGATTAAATGAACAAAAAGTTGAAACCTTGTTCAGTATAGAGCCAAACAAAAGCCTCCAGAGATAAATCTATGGAAGAACCATCTCTGTCTGAAAAAGAATTAAAAAATATTAAAATACTATATTAATAATTATGATACTAACAGTAAGTGTAAATTCTGAGCTAGAAGTCAAATCAAATATATGAGATAAGAATTGAATTAGTTACATTTATGAACTAGTAAAAATGATGAAATGCTAAGTCATATAAGATATTGAGTCACGTTACGCCAAGTATCCCTAAAAGAGAAGAAATCATTAACTTTTTCATAACTTTTTGACATTTTATGATCCTGCTCCACTTTAACATGATCTTAAAGGTTATGAGCAACAATACGACACTAAAAATATCACTGAGCGTCGATTCAGGCTCTAGTTTTGTTTTGTGACGCTCAAAATTTGTGCCTCGTGTTACGTTGCATTGGCTCCCAAATGTTTCTCAGATCCAACATCTATCACATCTCTCTGCTATTTCTACTGCTTTCAGTCGCTACCGAGCCTTGACCTGTAAACATAGACCGGAGCACGCACACACACACACACACATTCTATTACTCACAGGTATCAACACGTTTTCCTGCCTCTCTCTCTCTCTCTCTCTCTCTCTGTCTGATTGAGAAGAGTTGGTGGCCAAAGCCTCTCCTGTGGTTGTTTGTTTCGCTTCCCAGCAGGCAGATGGAGGTAACGGGTGTCAGGATCATCCACAAAACCATAAAGGAGAGAGAGAGAGAAAGAGGGAGAGAGAGAGAGATAATACATGTGGATGTACAGCTGGTACGGCAGTGGAGAAAACAGGCAGGAGAGGAGGGTAAATCAAAGAACATGCTTTATGTGTCTCTATTAAAACCAGAGTCACGGAGAGAGATATAAGTTGGGTTTGGCTCTGCACAGTAGGATATACGGCAGTAGCTGAGGTGAACTTAGCTCCACTAGTTTAAGTCCCGGGCAGTTTTCCTCTAGTGCTGTGTTGCAGTCACATCCCTGAGCAGTATTTAACCTTATTCACTTCGCAGTGTGAATCTGTGATGGCTGACTGCTGCAGAAGTCTCCATGTGTTGAACTTAAAAACTACTTCTGCAGAAATGTTTGGGTCTACAAGCAGAGAGAGAGAGAGAGAGAGAGAGAAAAAAAACCTATGGATTTTTACTTTCATTTAATGGAATAAACAAACACCACATCTGCAATGCTGAACACACTGCATGTGTAATTATTTATGTTATATTGAAACGCAAAACAGGAAAAGCTGCTATCAGAACTGTCTGGTGATGCACTATTTTATATTATAGTCAACAATAATAAACGAGTAAGGAGGAAGTTCGTGGCAGCTTCTTTTGACCAAAACATTACAATCTTTACACGCTGTAAAAATAAGTTATATAACCTTATTTCACAAGTATTGATGAACTTTTTCAACCTTGATTCTGTTTCTTTTTTCCTTCATTCTTTTCTCCCGACTTCTCTTCATTACTCTTTTCCGTCGCTCTTAATTTCTTTCCCACTTTCAATCTATTTCATTCATTCCTCTCTATTACCTCTCTCCTTTCCCCTGCTTCTTCCACTCTCGACCTTACTCCCCCTCAACATCACTCCTCCTGTTTATTTTTGATTTTGCTCTTTCATTCTCCACCTCCTCCTCCTCCACCTCCTCCTCCTCCTTCCTCTCCCTAACACTGATTTCCTTAATCCTTGACAATTTGGTCACCCTCTCGCCTCTCTTTCCCTCTCTCACTCGTCACTTCTACAACATTAATGTCCCTCATTTTCTGTCTTGTCTTTCACCTTCCTTCCTCCTCTATTTTCGCTTCTCTTACATTCCCATTAAATATATATTTTTATCTCTCATCCTCGTCACCTCATCACAATCTACTGATTCTATAACCCTTATCATTTCTTTTAATCTCCTATCATTTCCATTATTTTATCTCACACCATTCCCCGTCCCTCCACTCATCACCCCTTGTTCGTCCTCTTTTCTCTACACCTCCCCCTTCTTCTTTCACTCCTGTTTTCCTCCCTCCTCCCTCCCGTCTTTCCCTCTGGCAGGGGTGTTGTTCGTGTGGACGTGAACCTGCAGGATGTGGACATTGACCAGTGCTCCAGCAGCGGCTGGTTCGCTGGGACTCACCGCTGTAATCTCACCAGTATGGAAGTGAGTATCATTGCTACAGTCTCTTTATCTGTCAGTCACATTCACTGTCACATTCAAGCATTTGTTCATCCACACACCCTTCAGTCTCTCCACTACACCCTCAGTCCACTCAGACACAGAAAGATGCCCCGAGACAGACATTATGAGAGTCACTCACTCCACAGGCTGCGTCTCTGTACTCACACTTGCCATTTTGATTGTATAATTGTGTTCACGTTGACAAGTACACCCGGATGGTGCATTCAAAACGGTCAAAAGATTTAGTGTAAAACAATGGACACTTCCCACCCTCAACGATCAAGCCTGTGAAAACGGTGACAGAGGGTCGTTGGCGGCGACGGCGGCAAAATTTCATTTTAAGACACATTAAAGTCAAGTGAGCAAAGCAGCAGGCTCAAGAGTCACCCAGCCTAAATGACCGTATGCTGCAGGTCGTTTGTCCCTATCCTCTGATACCACCCATAGGAGTGTCTCTTGAAATAAACAATAAACAACAACTATTGGTTTCAAACGGGAGACAAACATCGCTCTCCCGTGTCAGATTCCTGTGTTTTTCTCGATCCTTCCATCCATTGATGTTGAGATTCTTCACTTGATATGTAAAGAACCTTGACCTGCTGGTGGCGCTAGAGGTAAAAGTCACAGAATCACCAAAGTGAGTAGGGTTGTTCCTCTGGGCACCATGAATAAAACCACCAAATTTCACTGCAACCCGTCCAATAGTTGTTGAGCTATTTCAGTCTGGACCAATAGAGCGAGCCGTGCCCCCGACAGTTGGTGAAATGAGGAGAAAAAACCCTAGATGGTAGTTCACTGTCTGTAGTGAGAGTGCTGCTGTCTATGATGATGAGAGGCGGTGATGGTGACATGTATGTGTGTGCGTCTTCTCCATGGTATAGTGTTTTTACCTCGGCAGCTGCTGTGATGGAACTGGCAGCAGCCATACATCATGTTTTGTCACTTTCCAGGGTGATGGAGAGAAAGAGAGCGAGGAGATAGTTCTGTCTGTCAGTGTGTGTGTGTGTGTGTGTGTGTGTGTCTGGGCCTCTGTCAGTGTGTGGGCTTCTCTGTGTGTTCACTACTTCGCTCATGTCAGTGCCAATGCGTTAGTTTTATGTGATGTATTGCAGGAAGCCTCTCTGACTCCGGCGGGGGAGAGTGGCTGCTCAGGCTTGCGTGGCATGTCGTTGGCCATGTGATGTATAATAAATGCAGTGTAATGGATTGCAGCAAGATGTAGTGAATAATTGACCATGCTCTTTGTCTGTGTGCCCCCTCCCCCCCTTTTCGGTCTGTGATGGTGTAGGTTGGGGGGTGGGGGGGGGGGCTACAGAAGGAGACACGGGAGGTCTCCGTGTTCGTTTTGATCTCTTGTGTTGTTTCTTCTGTATTGTTCCGTTTTCATAAGAAACTCTCTCCTGGCTGCTGCCTGATATAATCTGAACAGAGCGGCTGATAGTCCTGTAGTTCCTCTGTTCAGATCTGTATTGGCTGTGTGTGTGCAGATGGTGTGTGTTGTGTCTTTCTATCATCATCGCAGTGGTGGGCAGAGACAGCCTTTTTAGCTACCAGGGCTGTCTCTGATGGAAACGCGCCGAATTAACTTCGGTGTGTGTCCTGTGTGAATGTGGGTTTTTAACAGGCGCATTTGTGCATCTGTAATTTTTTTTTCTTTTTCTGTGGAAACATTTGCTTTTAAACTGCTTATGTGCGTTAAATAATCTTAGACTTAACCATATTTGGCAAAGCGGGAGTCAGTGATTCAGTGCCATCTTGAATCAGCAGTGTTATTTGTCTCTCACTGTTTTAAATGTAGGAATGTGGGAAATAGGATTAAAAGTTTGAAAAACACTATAGAATTAAAACTTTATAACCATTCATTACAAATGTTTTGTTAGAGGGGACAAGTATTGACTGTGAAACTCTATGCATTCGTAATAATGTCGTTAATCTTGTCCCTGAAGATTGGATTATTTCATAGAGCAATGAAATCATCAGCTGGAACAGACTGTTTGCAGTATTCATTTAGACATGTGGCAGCTGTTGACTCAGTCAGTCTCAGGATTTTAAAATTCGGGGCAGTTCAGAAGAGGCTACGTCTTCTGTGTGGAAACAGAGGTACCAAGATAATATTGAGGTTTTGCATCATAAAGCTATAAAACGACAAGACATGTCTCAAAATCAGCATGCTAACGTGCTCCTCGTGTTTAGCATGTACACCAGTGGTTCTCAGCCTTTTCCAACTCACGGCACACTGGAAAATTTTCTTGAAAATTGAATATCAAAAATGTTGATCTGACCCGATAATAATACGGAGGCTAAATAATATGTTCTCCGAGCACCTTTTATTTGAATAATGATGATGAAACATTCAGGATTGAACTGAAAGCAGGGGAAGCTCAATCTTTCTTTTTTGTTTGATGGGAACAAAATCTGCCTCTTGACTCTCTTCCCTTTTAATTCTTTCTGTTGCTCACCAGCTTTCCATCTTGATGCTGCAGTTTGCCATGGATGTAATCAGGCCAGTGACATCATAAAAGTTCCTATCATTGGCTTATCAGTGAATACAAGATTTAAAAAAAAAAGTTTTTCAACATTTCCAATGTTTTTAAAGATCATGTCTTTTTTAAAACATTTAAAAACATTATTTTGTTTTTAATAATTACACATTTTCACCAAAATTATACTGTTTTACAAATGATTTGTCAAAACCTGCCCTCAGTTTGGGAACCACATGGTCAACATCTTAGTTTAGCATGTTAGCATGCTATCATTTGCTAATTAGTGCTAAACACAAAGTACAGACTGTACCAAATCTTATGGAAATACAATAATAATATTGAAATAATTTAAAATATTTTACTCTGAACCAAAGTGGTGGACTGAACAACAGATGGACCGGCTTTGCGCTCCACTGAGTCAGTGCGGCTAAAACACATTTAAAAAAGCCTCGTCTCCTTTAACTCATTATGTTGTTTACAGAGTTTGTTGTTTTTGAGTTTACAGTTTGCTGATGGTGTTTGAGCTTCTGTAATATCTCCACACTGTCAATTCAATCACTGTTATATAAATAGAGGTGAGAAAGAAATCAGTAGGTGACAAAGAGTTGTCATAATCTTCAAAGGCAAATATAAACAGCAAGCTTTCCAACACAGCTTTAATGCTGCTAAATATGTGGAAATGCAAATGTTGAGTTAATGTTATCATATGGACTAGTCTGAATATGGCTGATAAAAAGTATACTGTTAACGTGTCTGTTTCAGCGTATCACAGCGCTGTATAAATTTTAGATTTTGTTTTAAATTTTGGATGTGAAATGTCTTGTTTCTTCTTTCCCGTCAAGTGTTATTTTTGTGCTGTTTCTCTCTCAGTGCTTCACTCTTTTCATTTCTTTTCCCAGCTTGTTGCGAGACCTACTTGATGTAATCAATTGCATATTGCTGTTGTTCAGCTAGCCCATTACCCACGCTTTGGTTTAGTCCTTTTGGGACTTTACATCAATTTTCTCGTTCTAATCAAAGTCTGAGAACCGTGCTGTCAGAAGCTTCCAGAAAAAATGATTTGGTTGCTAAGACAGAATATCAGTGCACCACACACATGATACGACATTTCAACGGGACTTTATTAAAAAGAGAGAAAGTATTTTTAGCTTGTTATCACAGACCAAATGGGAAAAAATGTTTGTATTTTTGTTCCAGTAAAAAAATAGTTCATTTCTGAATCTCACTAAGTGCGATGTTTGGGAAATGAGCTGTGGAAAGTCAGTGTGAGGCTCATTGCTTTCCTCATCGAGTACAAACACACCCCGAGGCTCCGTCTCAGAGAGAAAGATAATAATAAGACAGTCACTAGTAATGTGACAATGCATCATGTGTTCTGCAGTGTGCAGGTAGCATTACCACAACAGTCCCTTCTCATTGTCACTGTGATGTAATGCTTCACTCATTTTGTAGCAGAAGAACAGTTTTCGCGGCGTGTCCTCTTTTTTCTTAAAGAAGCACAGCTGGCAATTTATCCCTCAATCTTAATCCCAGTGAAATATTTCCTGTTGTGAACAACGCAGCAAACTGTAAACACAAAACTGTAAACAGTTGCTCATCAGCAGACACGTAGCAACATCAGACAATCACAGTCTGCGGTTCCCTGATGGTGGAACAAGCTACTGAGTCAGAGCGGAGGCGCCCGACTCATCTCCTCCGAGAGCAGCTCCTCCCTTAACGCCTCCGACACACTAACATGCCCGACTAGTACTCAGCACTGCTCTGCCTGACCTCACATGTAAATCGCTTTAGATGAAAGGATCTGCCAAACGAGTAAATGTAAATGTAAACATGAGCGTTACCACATGACAAATATAAGCCAAATATTTACTTCTGCTTTCACTTTTATTTTGGTCTCCGCCAACTACCAAGAAAACAGAAGCTCCTCAGCGCTCACTAGCTAGCGTTAGTTGCTCACTTTGTCTTTTGCTTTGCAGCAGCTATAGTTTCAGCTGTGCCGCTCAAATAGCTTTTTTTTTTTAACGTTCTTCTTCTTTTAATCTTCTGTTACTAAAATGACTTAAGATGTGATTTGCATTCCTTCTCCCTAAATCTCTGTGTTTTCATATTATATTCATTTATACTGTTGAAAGAAGGGAGAGTAGGTGGTATCATTTTGGTTATTGATGGGAGGCAACAATCTGCGGGTTAGCACTTGCCACTGTTATTAGGTGAAAACGAGTTGCCTGGTGACCAACAGTTAGGGTTAGAGTTGGGGCCTAATGGCAAGGGTTTTTGCAGCTGTATTACTGTGGAAGAAAATGCACTCTGCAAAGAAAATCATAAATAATATCATCAGCATGTGTTGTGATTGTTGATGGCCTGTACTGCACGGTATGTGTCGGCTACAACATGTAAACAATTATTGGTTTTGCGAGTTGTTTTCGCTTCATAACACTATGTTGTAGGCAAAAACCAAGACACACAGCCTCGGTTTTATGTCACCTCATTAAGACAGTA